GTTCCGGGAGAAGAAGCGTAGCCCAAAGCAGCTGGCCGTCCTTCCCTCTCCTCCTTTTCAATCCTACCTCCTCTCCGGATTCATTTTTAACTCACTTTGCGGGCTAGACACTCACTTGCTCATCCTAGGTTACAAGTGGACTGTAATTAATATCTCCTCTCCTATCATAAGTTGTTCGTTCTGCGTCTCCCCCTCCTTCCCCCCCCCCCCCCCCATCAAGCTCAGCTACGTCTCTATCTGACTCTCTATCGATCTGGGCAGTAGTTTCCGATTTAGTAGTTGCTAAATCGCGCCTGTGCATTATTGTACATATCTACAAGAAGCTTTTCTCTCGCATGAATCGGCTCTCGCCTCCGTTTCAATTTTTTAAAAAATACCTCTTTTTCAGCCTTCTCCTTCAGGAGAGAGTAATTAGGAACATTTCTTCGGATAACGTTTAGCTATTATTCTAAAATTATTTTCTTCAGGGGAGAGGGAGGGAGGGAGAGGGGGGTGTTCCACAGTCACCAAAGTGGACGCAGGGGGGGAAGTTTCGCCAAGAAGTTGGAAAACTTCTTAGGGGTGGGGGGTTATAAAGAGCAAACTTTACTGAAGGGTTCCCTTATACCCAATCGCTAATGGGTGGTCCTGGCTCATCCTTCCTTCAGGCAACCGCGTCTTCCTTTCCATCTCTCTTTCTTCTCCCCTCCCCCCCCCCCTCACTCACTCACTCACTCGCATATACACACGAGAGAAAGAAGCTGTCCCTTTCTTTCCCAAATTAGCTTTTGGATGTGAGCACCGGCCTTTGTACTTCGGGACACCTTTCCAGATGCGAACTGCTTTCCTCTCCTTCCCCTCCTTTTGGGGGAGTATTTTAAGGGAAGATACAACATACGCACCCATCCAATAAATAAAAAACAGGGTGTGTTTGTTTGTTTGTTTGTTTTGCAGTACAGGAAAAGGCGAACAGGAGACAAATCAAAAATGGGCCCCAAAGCCAGGTTTGGCCCTTCCTGCAGGAGGCCCGCGAGCGAATGAATTCTAGTTTTGTGGGTGGTGCCTGGCTTCAAACTCAGGCGCCCTGCTCTATTTGTCCCCCTTCCCCCCCCCCCCCCCCCCCCCCCCCCCACACACACAACACACACACACACACCACCCTCCGGCAGTCACCCTCCCTCTTCCTTCCAGCATCAAATGGTAACACTGATGGAACAAGAGATTAGCACAATAGAGTCCTAATCGAAGGGATACGTTTCTTCCACGCTAAGCACCGTAATTAATGGTATGAATCAATTAATTTGACTTCAGTTGTGTCAAAGCAAAAGCTCAACAAATGAAGGCGACGCTTTTTAGAGTGATGTTCTCTCTCTCTTTCTCTCATCACCTTGTTACAATCCCCGGTGAGGTTTCACAGAAAATCACCTAAGGAACGGATGTTTTTGGAATGCGTGTCTGTATTTGAGAAAGGGGTTTTTTTTCTCTCTCTCTCTCTCTCTCTCCACGGAATGACGAGATCGGCCCACTCCTGCTCGGATTCCTTGTATTCATTGCTGTAACACGCGCGCACGGAGATCTCCAAAGGTTTTGCAAAGGTCCAGGGGTCGGAATTCACCCCGGGACCATTGAAAGGTAAAGGCTCCACCACGAAGAGACCAAGGGGGGAAAAAAAGAAAGAAAGAAAGCAAAATGGACAGAGAAAGCCTCCCATGGTCAGGACGCGTGTTTGTTGGGGTGGGATATAAACCTGGTTTACGAATCCTTCCCGCGAACAGGAACCTCACACCTCCTAAATAACCTTTCCGAATTGGTCACGCCTGGTTTCTTTCCCCCATCTAATCAAGACCGGGAAACAGTCGCTTTCTCTGACTAGCTAAGGAGCCGGAAGAAATCGCTCCAAAGCAACGATCGTAGAACCGCACCGAAGATCTTCTGCAAAAGGTGAGCTTCCGAAAAGGAGCCACGGAAAGTCCCTTTTTCCTCTACCTTTGCAAAACAGAGAAGGACAAAATTACAACAGGGTCGCATTTTGCTCGAAGTCCTGTCCGCTTGGGGTTTTGTTTTTTTGTTTTTTGGAGGGGGAGAGGACATCCTGTGGCAGATCACCCAATAGGGCGGTCGCCCCTCCATGCCATACCGATTGGCGGGGCGACGGCGGTAGAGGTGGGATGGGGTGGGGGGAGAGAAATGTAACTTACGGGTGCCGGTTTTTCCAGAGGTAAAACTTGCAAGCCTCTCTCGTGTGAACCTTGATCTGGAGGTATGGTCTCCATGCAGAGAGCCAGGTTTCCTCCCCTCTTACTTTCCCTTTGCTCAGAGCATAAATCACACACACACACACGGTGTCTTCTGTATACTATTGCCATTTTTGTCTTCATTAGCACGTTTCGACACTCAGTCTTAAAGCCAACTCCCCTTTTCTCTCCTGCGCAAGACGGACCCACCTTTTGGGTTCGCGGGTTTCGCTCCCGTTTAAATATAAAGATGCCTCGCTATTTTATCCGAAAGCTGTAAAAATGTTGTGATGAAAACAAAAGCCGCAGTACAAGGGCAGACCAGGCAGGTGAATTTGGGCGTTTCTTTTGGAGATTCCGAAAAAAACACATCTTTTTCCCCCCCTGATGACTGTTGTTTTTGTGTTTGTTGTTGTTGTTCCTATCAACATTTCTCCTAAGTCACAACAATCATTGCAACAATACATAGGACGAAAAACAAAAAAGAAAAGCCACCTACCAAGCGAGTCATTTCCTACCTAAACCCCAAGCAATTGTTTTCTCTGGAAACGGAGGCTTTTGTTTAAAGAGGAGGAAATAGACTGTTTGCAACAAACTTTGAGAACTGGCTACCTCCTGGAGTTTGTTTTCTTGGGACAAGGCTTACCTTGGAGGTGAATACCAAAATATTTCCATTCACACACATGCCTCCTTCCCCATTTCCTACTTTTTAATATGCTAATGAGCTATTATTACGTCGTTAACACCTCTGCAAGATACCACCAATAATAATAAAGCTACAGCGTACACATACTCTCTCTTCTTTTGGTTATTTTTCTTTCTCTTCCCATTTTTTTTTCTTTGAGGGAGGCGTGGTTAGTTTATGTCTTTGGGTCTTATTTCGATCCCCAACTGACCTACAAGATGAATCCATGAACCCATCTTTTCCTACTTCGTTTCCCAGCGGATGATGGTATTTATTTGGTAAAGAGAGAAAAAAAGAATAGAAAAACAAAAACAAAAACATTTTCTCCGAGGATAGAGATGTTCAAACCACCACCACCACTCCAAAAAAAAAAAAAAAAAAAAATCAAACCGATCTAAAAAACCAAAACATTCCAGGGCAACATAATAATTGTATTTTTACAGTTGGCTCTACCATTTAATTCCTAATGCAGCCTGACTGGCACAGTTGAAGACTTACTTTGCTTTCCATTCTCTCTCTTTCGAAAATATTATTTTCCCAGGTGCGAGGTGTGCGTGTGCGTGGAAATGCCCAATTCTGAAAAGATTGCACGGGGCATTTTCTCTCCTGTGTGTGCGCGTGTGTGCGTGCCTTCATCGAATTCCAGCGTGGCTGTTTTGTTTTGATTTGTTTTGATGCTCCATCCATTCCTATTGGAATAAAATTGGCGACCTGGGCAGGTGTTATGTTTGCTTTTAAGGGGAGACCTGTCCCGAGGACTGTTTAGGCAAGTTTTCCCTGAAGGGAGCCGAGAGCCGATCACTTGGCGGTGATCAAGGGGGAAAGAAGCCACCGTTGTCTCTTTGTTGACAATCCCCCTGAAACAACTTGAGCCGGGCTTGGCCTGCCAGGGGGCGCTGACGTCAAGCCGTCACATGGCCCCGCCCCCTAGTATATCTTTAACTGGAAAGTAATCTATCAGGCAGCCTTTTTTTTTTTTTTTAAGGCACTTTCCAAGTGGCAACCGAGTTCCTTATAACGCCCGTGGATTCCCCGCCCTCTCCTGCTCGCTGGGCTGCCAAACCGAACCTTTTCTCCCTCCGCCCATCCTCCTTTTCGGGATAGAAAAAGGAAAGAAAAAGGGTGGGGGGAACCTAAACAGAGAAGACGGAAGGGGGTGTTTGTGGGATTTGAAAACAGCGAGGTGGGGGCAGAGAGAAAGAGGGAGGTTTGGAGCGAAGGCAAAGAGGAGAGATGGAGATCCCGCAGCCGAAGAGAGCTAACCTGCAGCAATAGCCTCGGCGGTGACGGGCACAACCATTCCGATGAGCCGGGAGAGGGTCGCCGGTCGCCAATCGTTTCGCTTGGGGGAAAGCACCGTCCAGAACCACAGCAGCACCGTCCAACACCGGAGGTGTCTGGAAACCGGGAGTCCGTCCGGGCCGGTGGAACCCTAAAGGGCTCCAGACCAGGAGCGAAAAACGGTGCAGAAGCTCGAATCGCTCGCTCGGTTTTGCCGCCGCCGCCGCCCCTTCGGCCTCTGCCTGCTCCCTGCCGCCCCGTCGTCGTCGCTGCTGCTGCTGCTGCTGCTGCTGCTGCTGCTGCTGCTGCTGCTTGACTGGCCATCGGGGAGAAGCTGCTGAAAGGAAAGCCCCGAGTGGCCGCCCCGCTTGCCGGCGTCGCACTCGAGCTGCGTGCAAGGCTTGGCCCGCAGATCGGCGGGCGCCTCTCAGCGCAGTCGCCGCCAAGGTGGGCAAAGGTTGCAGTCTGCTCTCGGATGCCGACAGCTGGGTGAGGAGGAGGAGGAGGAGGCCCCCGTGGCCGGCAGGTAGCGGAGGAGGAGGAGGAGGAGGAGCAGGAAGAAGAAGAGGAAGGCTGGGGACGGGGAAGGGGGGGGCTCCCTCTCTGGCTGCTGACACCGCTACCTGTTGGAGAAGCACCCTGCTCGAAGAGGGGCCGGATTTGGGTCCAAGTGTCCTCAGGAGCCCCCTTCTCCCTTCCTCCCCGTCCCTTCCCGACAGAGGCACTTGGAGCCCCTTCTTCTCTCCCGGCTCTTCCGATTTTCGCCGTGGCCATTAATTGACCCCTCCACCCTCCACTTCTTTCCCTTTCCTGGAGCTGGGATGACTCTGTCGGGCAACCTGAGCGCTAACGACATGTCCGGCCAGACGGTGCTGACGGCGGAAGATGTAGACATCGATGTGGTGGGCGAGGGGGACGACTGCCTGGAGGAGCGGGACGGAGGCGGCGGCAACAGCGACCTGGAGGCCGGCGGCAGCCCCGGCAGCGGGTTGGCTAGGTTGCCCTCCTCGCTGGCTTTGGACGAGGCAGCCGAGTTGCTGATGGCCAAAGAGGCGGTGGAGATGAGCTCGGGCAGCAGTAGCAGCAGTAGCGGCGGCGGCGGCGGGAGCCCCGTCGAGGAGAAGGGAAGCGAGGAGGGCTCGGCGCCGGGCGCGCCGTCCGGGGCGGCGGCGGCGGCGGCGGGCGCTGCGGCTGCTGCCTCCAGCGGCGGGAAGCCCAAGAGCAGCCTGGTGAAGCCGCCGTACTCGTACATCGCGCTGATCACCATGGCCATCCTGCAGAGCCCGCAGAAGAAGCTGACGCTGAGCGGCATCTGCGAGTTCATCAGCAACCGCTTCCCTTACTACCGGGAGAAGTTCCCGGCCTGGCAGAACTCCATCCGGCACAACCTCTCGCTCAACGACTGCTTCGTCAAGATCCCCCGCGAGCCGGGCAACCCGGGCAAGGGCAACTACTGGACGCTGGACCCGCAGTCCGAGGACATGTTCGACAACGGCTCCTTCCTGCGGCGCCGCAAGCGCTTCAAGCGGCACCAGCAGGAGCAGTTGCGCGAGCAGACGGCGCTCATGATGCACAGCTTCGGCGCCTACAGCCTGGCCGCCGCCGCTGCCGCCGCCGCCGCCTCTTCCTCGGGCCCCTACGGCCGAGCCTACGGCCTGCCCCACGGCGCCTACCCGCACCCGGCCGCCTTGCAGTACCCCTACATCCCGCCCGTCGGACCCATGCTGCCGCCCGCCGTGCCCCTCCTGCCCTCGGGCGAGCTGAGCCGGAAAGCCTTCAACGCCCAGCTCAGCCCCAGCCTCCAGTTGCAGCTCAGCAGCCTCGGCGCGGTGGCCGGGGCCGGCGCTGCGGCTGGCGGGGTCAAAGCCGAGCCCAGCGGCCGGCCTTCCTTCAGCATCGAGAATATCATCGGGGCGGGCGGCGGGGGCGGCGGGCCGGCCTCCAGCTCTTCCTCGGCCGTCAGCGCCCAGACGTTCCTCCGGCCGCCCGTCACCGCTCAGTCGGGCTTGCTGGGCCACCAGCCGCTGGCGCTGGCCAGGACCACGGCGGCCATCGCGCCCATCCTCAGCGTGCCTACAAACATTCTCTCCGGACAGTTCCTGCAGCCCGCCGCCTCGGCCGGCGCGGTCCAGGCCAAGTGGCCGGCGCAGTAGCTCGGCGGGCGAGCGCGGGACCCGATCTCCCTTCCTTCCTTCCTCTCTCCGCCTTTTTCTCCGATCCTGCGAAAGGATCGGGGGGGGGGGGGGGGGGGGGTTCGTGGTCGCCTCCCGCTTCGCCCAGAGACTCCTTTCACGCCACGGGACTCTCTGCGGACTCGATCGGCTCCAGTGGCCGCATCTCTGCCTTAGTCCGTGGCCTTCGCCGGTGGTAAACCCGGAGGCTTCGGAGCCCCGAAACAAGGCTGGCAAAACGCATAGGAAAGAAGGGTTCGGACGCTGCAGGTAAAGCTGACACGCAACCCGCGGCGACCTCTTTCTTCAATATTGGTAGTGGGGAGGGCGAGAGGCAATGGCGGACTTTCCTTTGCAGTTTTTATTTTATTTTTTTAACGGCCCATATTTGCCACTCCCCCCCACCCAAAAAAAAGCAAGAGCAAAGAAAAAATTCAGAGAAAAAGGGAAAACGGGAAGTCGAGAACGCTCAAGCTTAGGAGTCTCGAACTTTCACTTTTGTTGAAGGTTCTCATTTTTCCTCCGGTAATTTTCTTCGAATCCAAATTTGCAGCAAACGATAAGGAAAGGCGTTTTAAATATGAAAGAACTGAGCAGAAAAAAAAGAAGGGGAGAGTCGTCCCTGTCATTCTATTATAGAAGTCTGTTTATATATGAATGAATATATGTATTCTAAATGTTATTCCTTCGTGTTGTACACAGCTTTGTAAATAAATTTTTAAAATGGCACGTTTGGTGTTTGCTTTCCAGTTAGTACACCATATGAAAGAGAGTTATAAAAAACGATTTTGCTCCATTGGGAAAATTCTGTAGTCATTCAGCTTTTTCAACCAAAAAAAAAATCAATAGACCCTATACATGGGACACAATTATTCTGTTACAAATACAATAGACTGAAATTTTTAATGTCTTAAAGAGCAAGATCCTTCCCAAAGATCATCCTTTACCTTTCCCATCAATCAATATCTAAATCTAGATATATCTAGTGACACATCTCTAAAAACGTTATGAAATTGCTACAGATTGGATCACACTAATAGATGAATTATTTGTATATTATATAAATTAAGATAGAGATGGTAAAGTAACTTCCATAATAAAGAAATATGATTGGGGCAATATGTCAGATGATCTGGTAATAAAAAATTAATTCTGAAGAAGGAAGGAAATAAGGAAGGAAGGAAGGAAGGAAGGAAGGAAGGAAGGAAGGAATTATTCTGAGTTAATACAGAACCATACAATCTCATTTCTTTTTTAATTAAATTTAATAAGTTTAAAAACTGGAATTCTCCTTTTTTATTAACTGCATTTTCCTCCATGTTCAAAGAAGTGCAGAAGGTATTAGGGTTCTGTTTGTCTTTAAATTAAATATGTTTTTCTTCTGTTGAAATAGCATGTAACTTTAGTCTCTGGAATCAAGTTCAATAAAGCTTGTAATTCATTTCTTTTGAACTGCAATCAAAGTCACAAGACTCAGAATTTGATACCAATGCTCAGTTACTAACTGATATGCCACTGATGACAGCCTGCCACTCCGCAAAATTAGGAGAGATTCTAATTGCATATTCTAATTGAATCTTGTGGACAAATGCTTTGATGTACCAAACGACTTTAAATTAATTAAGCCTTCTGGGCCTAATAGGGGGGACTTCCTCGTGTTATGTATCAGTCTCGCAGGCAAAGATCTGTGGCATCTTTTAAATCGGGATCTGCCTGGGAAATCAGGGCTCAGCGTCGAACCGTTAGAACCCATGGATATGATCCCTAATTTGGAAGAGGTCTGTGTTTCAGTTCTGTAAAATAAAAGGAAGGTCAGATCAAAGAACGGAGGATCATTTCCTTCCTTTTTTCTTTTTTTTTAGTAAGCCGCTGGAATAATTTAAAAAAAAAACCCACCCTTTTATTCTCCCCAAAATACGAAGCATTTGCCCTAAGGAAGAGAGGGAGGTTAGGAAGACGCCTTTCAGCCGCTCGGCTGCCGAATCTGCCCTCTTCCCGTTAACCAACCGGCGGGCCGGAGCGCGCCTTCTGGACAAGGGCCGGAGGACGCGCCTTGCCCGGGGGCCCGATTTGTTTTCTAGAGAAACCATAAATATTATTCCACCCTAAGTAAACATTTATACCCGCGGATATGCGGACGAAAATAAAGTAAGCCGCCCGCTGACTTTGGGGGGCGGGAGGAAAACAGCTTGAACTTTATAAATAAGGACCTGCTAATCATTTGACACTCCGAGGCAGGCCAGGTGGCCTCCCGACCGAGCAGGGAGATTCGGTGTCAGTCCAGCCTGGTCCAGCCAGGCCCCTACGCGGATCCCTCCTCCCACCTCCCGGCCCTCCGAGTTACCGAATCTCCGAGGCCGGATGGGGTGGGGGTGTAAGGGGGGAAGGGAAAGGGCTGCACCTCCGTCGCCGTTAGAAGTCCCGCGGCGCTTCGCAGTTGTTCCTCGTTCATCGGTTTTTTTATTATTATTATTATTATTTATATACAACCAACGGCCCACGGTCCGGAAGTTGGGACCAGTGCCAGGCCGAGGGCCTATATTTAGCTGATCCCCCTGGGAAAAGAGAGCAGGGGCCTTTCCTGACTCGCCCAGCGGGCTCTCCAGGCTCGGCCGTGACATTGGATCGCCAGGCCTCACTCCAGGCCGGAGCCTTTTGTTAGGCAGAGTAGCGCGGCCTCCGCGTGTTTCGCATAGCTCCAATACCGCGCGGCCGGCCTGGGCAAGTGCGCGCGTCTCTTATCTTTTTCTTGAGGCGTGAAGGGTGGCTAGCTTCTCCGGCCTCAGGTTCAGGTGCGGGAAAAGTTCCCCGTTCGCCTTTCCTCTGGGGAAGACAACCGGAGGCTTGGTCCTTTGGCCTTCCAGGGATCCGAAGTGGGCCACCTTTTTCTGGTTGTGCCTGGTCCTCAGATTCGGGGTGGAATAGCAGGTTGTCCCCCCCCCCTCCAAGCTTCAGGGCAACCCCATGCGTGGATCGGATGAGTAAATCTGAGGGCAACTGATGGGTAGGCAGGTAGGCTGACAGGTGAGGGAGGCAGGGAGATGCTCCCTGAAGGTAAAAGCACCCTTTTTTAGCTTCTTGATCTGAATGCCTTGCTTTGCTTCTTCTGTGTTTGCAAGATGTGATTGCCCATGAATTAGTCACCTGGCTTCAATTCACCTAATGCACTAAGCATTTTTTTTTAAAAAGGAATAATCATCAAAGTTAACCACTTTTTTTTTTTTTTTTGCTGGATCAAGTTTGGCATGCGGTGTTAACACAGCCATAGATGATTTTGGTGCATTGGGAGCAACTTAAGGATGGGAAAGGAGTGCGTATTCAAGTCCAGAAGCCGCTAAACTTTTATCAGATATAAATTACTGCCCTGCTTTGTTCAGCTGCTTAAAACGAGTTTCCTTCCTTGGCATTAGCTTTAGTTAACTGCTCCATTTAGGGAAGCAGAAATAAGCGACAGGTTCTGAGTTTAAGGGAGGAAAGATTGGAGGGGGGAAGACAGAGAGAAAGAGAAGAAGGGCCCTTACTGATAAAACCCAGAAAATCCAAGGTCAAATGAAAGAGGCAGTAAGATGAAAGAAACCAGCAGTTGAAGTGGCGGCACTGTTGGTGTGATGGCATGGCTTGCACCCTAAGGCTCTTTCAAGATGGGCTGTGTTGTGTTTGTTTGCTTTTTTAAAAAAATTCCTTGTCCCACTCAGCCTGGAAGCCCATTGAAGGAAAAGCTGGAAGAGGGCATCTTATCCCTTCATTTTGCCTTCTTTGATATCAGAGGCATTAAGGAATTTCTCCCAATATGGGGGTGGGGTCTTCCACATTTGAAGGACTTCAACTCACAGCCAGTATGCTGCCTGCAGTGAAAACCGGAAATCAGATAATCTCATTGTTCACAGTGTGAAACCTAAGGTCTATTGGTAGCCCTTGAAAGCCTTGGGTGCAATCTCTGGAGATATCCAAAAGTTGATATTAATTTGTGACTTCTAAAATGATAAAAAAGGAAATGATTAAAAGCATGACTAGAAAGTCTTTCTAAAAATCAAAAGTGATTTTAATTACATTTATATGTAAATTATTGCAAGACATGTTTAACTTTTGATGTGGTTCCATCCATTATTTTTGGAGGGGAGGGGAGAATGATCACTAGAATGCCACTTAAAGCTCAAGAGAAACCTTTGGGTTTGCTTTTTAAAAGCCATGTTGGTAAGTTTCTATGGCTGATAACAGCTAACAAGGGGGTTCTATGGGTATCATCTGATAAGAAGCTGTAAGCCTTAGATCAACCCAGAATCCCACTCTGCTTTGATCTGAATGTATAGGCATCCTTTGCAAGTCTGGCAGCGAACTGCAATGGATGGAAAGGAGGATTTGACAACATGAAAATATACAGATCATTTCTAAGACCACTTTATGGGCAAAAGGATTACAGTATACATCAATACTTTCCTCACTAACCTCTAATAAAGCAAGTATTCAGGCTGGTTGAAAGTTGTTGTCCTTATGTCCAATGTACAGAGTTTGCATGATCTTTATGACAAAAAGGACAATGGAAATAACAGCAGTTCTGGAGCTTTTTCTCAAAATTATTTCTTGAAGCTTCTTCCAGTCCAATTTACACAGGTGCATCATAAATAAAAAGGGTGCATGTGTTATCTATTCCAATTTAAAAGACATGGATGATCTTCCTTTTTATGTATGTTAAAGGAAAAACACAAAAATAATAGAAGTTGCAAATATTTTCACATAATGCTCTCAATCACTTGCAAAAGGTTTACCACACTTCTAAACTATAACTGATGACTGCAAATAAGAATTTAGGAAGAATTCTAGGAAGAATTTCAGTGGGTGTCCATAGGTGTCACTTTCTTTCAGCCTGGCTTATCAAAAAAGACTGTTATGAAACAAACATTTCTGAATTTCTTCAAGGAATGGCATGATGGAAGCACAATTAATCATAACACTAGTCAATCCTGTTCTTGCCGGTTAACTGG